TGCCCCGGGCAAATGGAAAATAGCCTTATCTTGAAAACCGTGAGACTTTCAGGTAAATCTTCAATCAATTCATGGCCCTAATAACTCAGTTACATAACAAACATCCCAAAAAGATTGAAACATGCTCATATCTGAATAATATTTCAATATTCCAATTTTTGGGAATTGTCATTTTTTATTTTTGGACCAGTACCGTCATTTTGCAAAATTAGTGTATTTCTTGCAGTCAAAAAGTTTGGAAAAAGATGCCCCGGGCAAATGGAAAATAGCCAAAGGGATTTTGAAAACCGTCAGACTTTCAGGAAAATCTTCAATAAATTCATGGCCCTGATAACTCAGTTACATAAGAAACGTCCCAAAAAGATTGATAAATGCTCTTATCTGAAAAATATTTCAATATTCTTATTTGGGGGAATTGTCATTTTTTAGTTTTGGTCCAATGCCGTTATAATGAAAAGTAGGAACAAAATGTTTCCTGCTGGAACATGATATAGAAAGTACCAATACGTTGTCCTTACCCTCGTTTTTCGTGTATTTCTTGCAGTCAAAAAGTTTGGAAAAAGATTTTCCGGGCAAATGGAAAAATGTCCTGAGGGATCTTGAAAACCGTTAAGACTTGCAGGATACTCTTTAATCAGTTCTTGACCCTGAAAACTCAGATACGTAAGAAATATTCCGAAAAGATTGATACATGCTCCTATCTGAGAAAAAATTTCAATATTCTAATTATTGGCAATTGTCAATTTTTTTTCACCAATACCGTCAGTTTGAAAAATCGGAGCAAAATGTTTCCTGCTGCGACATGATACAGAAAGGACCAATACGTTATCCATACACTCATATCTCGTGTATTTCTTGTAGTTAAAAACTATGGGAAAGAATGCCCAGGGCAAATAGAAAATAGCCAAAGGGACCTTGAAAACCGTGAGACTTGCAGGATATTTTTAAATCAATTCCTGGCCCCTGTTACTCAGTTAAATAAGAAATATCCCGAAAAGATTGATACATGCTCCTACCTGAAGAAAATTTCAATATTCTTATTTGGGGGAATTGTCATTTTTTTTATTTTTGGTCCAATACCGTTATAATGAAAAGTAGGAGCAATATGTTTCCTGCTGGTACATGATATAGAAAGTACCAATACCTTATCCTTACCCTCGTTCTTCTTGTATTTCTTGCAGTCAAATAGTTTGGAAAAAGATGCCCCGGGCAAATGGAAAATAGCCAAAGGGATCTTGAAAACCGTCAGACTTTCAGGAAAATCTTCAATCAATTCATGGCCCTGATGACTCAGTTACATATGAAACATCCCGAAAAGATTGATACATGCTCCTATCTGAAAAATATTTCAATATTCTTATTTGGGGGAATTGTCATTTTTTAATTTTAGTCCAATACCGTTATAATGAAAAGGAGGAGCAAAATGTTTCCTGCTGGAACATGATATAGAAAGTACCAATACGTTGTCCTTACCATCGTTTTTCGTGTATTTCTTGCAATCAAAAAGTTTGGAAAAAGATGCCCCGGGCAAATGGAAAATAGCCAAAGGGATCTTGAAAACCGTCAGACTTTCAGGAAAATCTTCAATCAATTCATGGCCCTGATAACTCAGTTACATAAGAAACATCCCAAAAAGATTGATACATGCTCCTATCTGAAAAATATTTCAATATTTTTATTTGGAGGAATTGTCATTTTTTATTTTAGTCCAATACCGTTATAATGAAAAGGAGGAGCAAAATGTTTCCTGCTGGATTTTGCAAAATCAGTGTATTTCTTGCATTCAAAAAGTTTGCAAAAAGATGCCCCGGGCAAATGGAAAATAGCCAAAGGGATCTTGAAAACCGTCATACTTTCAGGAAAATCTTCAATCAATTCATGGCCCTGATAACTCAGTTACATAAGAAACATCCCAAAAAGATTGATACATGCTCCTATCTGAAAAATATTTCAATATTCTTATTTGGGGGAATTGTCATTTTTTAATTTTGGATCAATACCGTCATTTTGAAAAATCGGAGGAAAATGTTTCCTACTGGAACATGATATAGAAAGGACGTATAGGTTATCGATACTCTAGTTTTTGTGTATTTTTTACAGTAAAAAAGTATGGAAAGAAATGCCCAGGTCAAATGGAAAATAGCCTTAGGGATCTTGAAAACCGTTAGCCTTTCAGGAAAATCTTTAACCAATTCTTGACCCTGATAACTCAGTTACATAAGAAACATCCCGACAAAATTGATACATGCTCCTATCTGAAAAATATTTCAATATTCTTATTTGGGGGAATTGTCAATTTTTTAATTTTGGTCAAATACCGTTATAATGAAAAGTAGGAGCAATATGTTTCCTCCTGGGACATGATAAAAAAAGTATACCAATACGTTATCCTTACCCTCGTTTTTCGTGTATTTCTTTCAGTCAAAAAGTTTGGAAAAAGGTGCAACGGGCAAATGGAAAATAGCCAAAGGGAATTAAAACCGTGAGACTTTAAGGAAAATCTTCAATCAATTCATGGCCCTGATAACTCAGTTACATAAGAAACATCACAAAAAGATTGATAAATGCTTCCACCTGAAAAATATTTCAATATTCTTATTTGGGGGAATTGTCATTTTTAAATATTGGTCCAATACCGTTATAATGAAAAGGAGGAGCAAAATGTTTCCTACTGGAACATGATACAGAAAGTACCAATACGCTATCCTTACCCTCGTTTTTCGTGTATTTCTTGCATTCAAAAAGTTTGGAAAAAGAAGCCGAGGGCAAACGGAAAATAGCCTGGGGATTTTGAAAACCGTAAGACTTTCAGAAAAATCTTTAATCAATTCTTGACCCCCATAACTCAGACACATATTAAACAACCCCAAAAGATTGATACATCTGCAATCTGAAAAATATTTCAATATTCTAATTTGTGGGAATTCTCATTCTTTTTGGAAAAAGATGCCCTTGGCAAATGGAAAAATATCCTGAGGGATCTTGAAAACCGTTAAGACTTGCAGAATACTCTTTAATCAGTTCTTGACCCTGAAACTCAGATACATAAGAAACATTCCGAAAAGATTGATAAATGCTCCTATCTGAAAAATATTTCGATATTCTTATTTGGGGGAATTGTTATTGACCAAAACCGTTATAATGAAAAAGAGGAGCAAAATGTTTCCTGCTGGAACATGATATAGAAAGTACCAATTCGTTATCCTTACCCTCGTTTTTCGTGTATTTCTTGCAGTCAAAAAGTTTGGAAAAAGAAGGCGAGGGCAAACGGAAATTAGCCTGGGGGATTTTGAAAACTGTGAGACTTTCAGAAAAATCTTTAATCAGTCCTTGGCCCTGATAACTCAGTTACATCAGAAACATCCCAAAAAGATTGATAAATGCTCCTACCTTTAAAATATTTCAATATTCTTATTTGGGGGAATTGTCATTTTTTTATTTTTTGTCCAATACCGTTATAATGAAAAGGAGGAGCAAAATGTTTCCTGCTGGAACATGATATAGAAATGACCAATACTTTATCCATACTCTCATTTTTCGTGTATTTTTTGTAGTAAAAGAGTTTGGAAAAAAATGCCCTGGGCAAAAGGAAAATAGCCTGAGGGATCTTGAAAACCGTGAGACTTTCAGGAAAATCTTTCAATTCCTGGCCCCCATAACTCAGACACATATTAAAACAACCCCAAAAGATTCATACATCTGCAAACTAAAAAATATTTCAATATTCTAATTTTTGGGAATTGTCATTCTTTTCGTCAGTTTGAAAAATCGGAGCAAAATGTTTCCTGCTGGTACATGATATAGAAAGCACAAAACACCCAAAATTACAAAAGGTTATTTTAATTGGATCTATTTGACAAACTGCAGGGTACACATGTAGGTTATATAACTAGCGAAAGAGAGGGGACGGATGTTGTTGGTCAGGATCGCTAGTCTTATATTATTTCATTTGTTGGTTGTTTCCAGTATACTTACTCTAAACTTACTACACAAGTTGACTTTCAGCAGTTTTGAATCTTTTGTTATTTCTGTATACCCACTTCACTCTTGAAGTGGGTATAGTGGCATTAATTTCTTAGCATGTCAGATTTCACCGAATGAATGAATGAATGAATGTAGATCAAGGCGATAACGGGTGTTTTACAGCTAGGTGTAGATGAAGACATGCTAATTACCATTTGCATGTTTTAGTTATAATTGATAAGTTTTTGATAAAAATGTGTACCTTGAAATCAGAAATAATATACATCCGAGTAAACAAATACCCAATTTTAGTATTCGATATTTGGACCTTGGATCGAGTACCCGGTAAAGTTGACTTCCCTAGAAAATATATTAAACTATATCATAAAAGGTTATTTGAAGTCCTTGATTTCATTTATTGAAAGTAGGATACATTGTAAAATAATTTTTGTTAAATAAATAGAGGATATTCAATGTTTTGTAGTTGAATATGGAATTTATTTCACGAGTGGGACAGGATTTTTGATATTTTCACGAGTGCGACGAACGAGTGAAAATATCAAAAAATCCTGTCTCACGAGTGAAATAAATTCCATATTCAACTTCAAAACATTGAATTTTCTGTTTATTACATTTTTAAAAAAAATTCTTTGATTTTTCCTTTGCCTCTGTCTTTTTGTAACACAGTCTTAGGCTACATGACGTCATAGTCGAGCGGTTGAGACATCATAGCTAGTGAGGTGAAAAACACTGTAAACATGGATTTAGCAACATATTTTTCGTAATTTTGACAGTTTTATTCGCTGTCAGAATTGTTTATTCATTTCCATTTATCTTATATTAGGTCAAGGAAGATTTTCTTACAACAATCTGCGTTATTGGAAGGGAAATCGAGAGTTTTCCCGCACTTCTGATATTCGTCACACTGTGACAGGATATCATTTTTATTCAATGAATAAATTACAGTATTTCACTGGTAAAAATGTAATAAACATTATGAGATGTTCTTAATTTTTTTTCAATTAAACACTTTGTAGAAAATTCTGCCAAGAGACAGTTGTGAGGGGAATGGTGTAGATAATCTCCAGAAAAGAAATCACCACTGATATTGGGATGTATGTACCAATATTTACCACAGGAATAAAAATAAAATTGTCTGGCCTGCCATGGTAGAAGCTCTTCTGAAAAATATTCCATTTATTGTGGACATCATGAAATAGGATTCACCTGTCATCAGCATTATAGACTTGTGTGATTTGTTCCACCTGGGCCATACAATATAGAACCTCAAGCACATTGTAAATCTATGTAAGGTCTTCTATGTATCAACGTTGCATCCTTATATAATTTGTTGTTTTATAACAAGACTTGTTTTCATTGGTCTAAAACTTCATACACATAAAAAAAACCAAAAGCAGTTGTGATATTTATTGTTTTCTATTACTCATTAGTTCTCATTTTTGTGTGAAATTTTATAATTATCCATTTCTTGTTCCCCAAAACTATATCTTACAAATTTTATGTATTGCAACTTGCATTTCAATTTTCACTTGTTATACTTGACAAAAACTAGAGGTACTGTGAGCAATGAGCTCACTAAATGATACCCCCGCCTCCCATATGATTATAATGAAAAGTCCATGTTTTGCTGTGGTCGGGAAACCCAAAATATGTGTCGGATCAAAAAGTAAAATAGGAGGTGCACAATGGCAATATGTAATAAAGATTCTGTGAAGGTTTCATTAAATTTCACTCAGTGGTATAAGAGGGGTTGCAGATAAGATATGAGTACCACAAAGCGTAACAGACGGACGGACGGACAGCTAGACGTACAGACGGACGGACGGACATACAGATTACAGTATACCTCACACTTTCATGCAGGGGTATAATAAATGTTAAAATGTTCATATTGCTATTGACGTCACTTATTCTCATGTATCCGCTCCAAAAGGGAGACATATTGTTTATTCTTATTCCTTGGTTTCAATACTACAATCCAACAAAATATTTATCACCCCCCTCTTTAAAACAGATTATGCTTCAAATATGTGTCATTAAAGTTTTGCATGAGAACTTGCAATCATGCTTCCGCCTATCAGTACCCTCAGTACTTTGATTTAATTTTGGTCCAATACCGTTATAATGAAAAGTAGGAGCAATATGTTTCCTGCTGGAAAATGATATAGAAAGGACCAATACGTTATCCATACTCTCATTTTTTGTGCATTTTTTACAGTAAAAAAGTATGGAAAGAAATGCCCCAGGCAAATGGAAAATAGCCTTAGGGATCTTGAAAACCGTAAGCCTTTCAGGAAAATCTTTAATCAATTCTTGACCCTGATTACTCAGTTCCATAAGAAACATCCCGAAAAAATTGATACATGCTCCTATCTTAAAAATATTTCAATATTCTTATTAGGGGGAATTGCATTTTTTTAATTTTGGTCCAATATCGCTATAATGAAAAGAAGGAGCAATATGTTTCCTGCTGGGACATGATATAGAAAGTACCAATACGTTATCCTTACCCTCGTTTTTTGTGTATTTCTTGCAGTCAAAAATTTTGGAAAAAGATGCCCCGGGCAAACGGAAAATAGCCTGAGGGATTTTGAAAACCGTGAGACTTCAAGGAAAATCTTCAATCAATTCATGGCCCTGATAACTCAGTTACATCAGAAACATCCCAAAAAGATTGATAGATGCTCCTACCTGAAAAATATTTCAATATTCTTATTTGGGGGGATTGTGATTTTTTTTATTTTTGGTCCAATACCGTTATAATGAAAAGGAGGAGCAAAATGTTTCCTTCTGGAACATGATATAGAAAGGACCAATACGTTATCCATACTCTAATTTTCCGTGTATTTCTTGCAGTCAAAAAGTTTGGAAAAAGATGCCCCGGGCAAATGGAAAAATAGCCTGAGGGATCTTGAAAACCGTTAAGACTTGCAGGATACTGTTTAATCAGTTCTTGACCCTGAAAACTCAGTTACATAAGAAACATTCCGAAAAGATTGATACATGCTCCTATCTGAAAAATATTTCAATATTCTTATTTGGGGGAATTGTCATTTTTTTTTTAATTTTTGGTCCAATACCGTTATAATGAAAAGGAGGAGCAAAATGTTTCCGCTGGAACATGATATAGAAATGACCAATACTTTATCCATACTCTCATTTTTCGTGTATTTTTTGTAGGAAAAAGGTTTGGAAAAAAATGCCCCGGGCAAAAGGAAAATAGAGGGATCAAGAGGGATCTTGAAAACCGTGAGACTTTCAGGAAAATCTTTAATCAATTCTTGGCCCCCATAACTCAGACACATATTAAAACAACCCCAAAAGATTCATACATCTGCAATCTGAAAAATATTTCAATATTCTAATTTTTGGGAAATGTCATTCTTTTTGGACAAATACCGTCAGTCTGAAAAATCGGAGCAAAATGTTTCCTGCTGGTACATGATATAGAAAGGACCAATACGTTATCCATAACCCCATTTTTCGTGTATTTCTTGTAGTTAAAAACTATGGGAAAGAATGCCCAGGGCAAATAGAAAATAGCTAAAGGGATCTTGAAAACCGTCAGACTTGCAGGATATTTTTAAATCAATTCCTGGGCCCTGTTACTCAGTTACATAAGAAACATCCCAAAAAGATTGATACATGCTCCTATCTGAAAAATATTTCAATATTCTTATTTGGTGGAATTGTCATTTTCAGGTGGAAGCCGCCTATTACATTTGCTTTGTTGACCTTTCGACCTCTCAAGATGTTTGCCCCGTTTCATGGTACTCCAAACGGATGTATCTTAAACTAAGGGTATACAACCCGCTAAATCATTTTCGACCCCCTTCCCAATCTTCTCGCCTAAAATTAAGGAGCGTGTGTTATGGCGAATTTATTTTAACAATTTATTTTGATTAATGTAAAAAAAAAGTCCAATAAAAATAATAGCCTAATAATAGAACGAAAAGTTACTTTAGTACTCCTGATAATTTTCACGTTTGAGAGGAGAACGAACGACAACTCTGTATGTCTAAAACATAAAGAAATCGGGTTCAACATTTGATTAGCACGGGGTCCTGAAGCGATCTTTAGAAATACTACGAGGGACAAAATAGTTCAAGTATGTAATTATGTTTAAGTATTAATGACAGGTACATACATATAGCTACTGAGGAACTAATCTTTTCAATAATCTTGTATAAAATAGAAGGAAATAGGTATGTGACTCCTTTTATCAATTGTTTATTAGTCAGCCCGCGGGCTGACTAGTTATGGTACGAAGAACTTCCAATGCGCTTGCGTGACCTGGAATTCTGGGAGTGGTTCCGCAGTAAATCACTCCTGCTAATTTTATTTCAGTAAAATCAATATAGATTATAAACCAACAAATACCTGTTTAACACCAAGGCAATCTGTAAATTTAACTCAAAAAGGAATTTCCCGATGCTTATTTTTGTATAGAAGGTTTCAAACAGTTTACTGGTTCGCAGTAATTTAACTGGTTCGCACCTGATCATGTGTTCTACGCAGCAAAGCATACAGTTGCTACTGTTGGATGAATTTAGTGTTTGTCGCGTCAATTGAAGCTCTTTTATAAAATATATTGAAGGTATTTTACTTATGTATTTAAATCTACAGCACAAACATTGGTTTATTACATATTTTTAGCTTTTCAGTTTTTACTGCTTTTACTTTCGTTTTCACTACAAATCATTTCGATCCCGATGCTAAATAGCGGACAGACTTGTTAAGTCATACAAAAGATACTTCGGAAAGTAAACACAACTGGCTAAGCTTGCTCGTTTGTTGCCCCCCGCTGAAATTAGAGAATATCAATTTCAGTCTGTCTTTCCGTTCATCTATAGTTCTGTCTGTCTGTAACACTTTCACTTTCCCGCAATATTGCGTGAAGTCTTTGGGCTTTTGCAGTGAAATTTTACACAACTGTTTTCACCTTATATGGCCTTTGGAAGACCCTCTTGATTTTGAGGTCAAAGGTCGAAGTATTAAATTCAGAAATTCTGTCTGTTTAAACACTTGTTTTCGCGCGATATCTCTATAAGCCATTGGGCTTTTGCAATTAAATTTTATACCAAAACTCCCTATGGCCATATACATGATATATATGGCGTAAGGAATACCCCTGTGTATTTTGAGGTTCAAACGTCAGTGTCATAAATTCATACTTCTGTGTGACTCTGTGTAAAACTTTCATTTCCAGTCAATATCTCAAGAAGGTTTTGAGTTTTTGCAATTAAATGTCATAAATCATAACTCCCTATGGCCATGCCCTGGACCCCCCCCCCCCCACCCCCCATCTGCGCATGCTTTTTTATCCGTACTATGGCTTGTTTTTCATAAACTACGACCTCATGATCTAGGTTGTGGCAATCATATTTATGAATTAATAGGTTTATTATATTAAAAGAGGTCTGATAAATGAATTTATAGCCAAGAGTGATTCAACCGGCGGCATGATAAACTCTAACAAGGATGATAGTGAAGCTTATTGGGCTCCGTTTTGTTAAAAATGGCATAATGTCCATATATCCCCCTCCCCCTAAAATCTTATAGATCTGATAATGAGATTGTAGGTTTATATAACCTCTTTGAATTATGTTATGTAGATTGGAACTTCAATGTTTATACATACTTTCCGTTCTTTTGATTTTGAGATAAAAAATGCAAGAATCTGCATGCAAAAATGCTTCTGTTCCTATGCAGAAAAAATATTAAGACGATGTTTTAATTTTAGTGCCCAACTCTGCTACTAATTAAAAAAAGATTTGTTTTTAAAAATTTAGAAATTTATTTTGTATATTGTTTAATGGACGTTGAGATTGAATACTGTTCGTTATTTCCATATCCTTCTTGGAGGCATTTTTTTCAGTTCTCTATGATTCTTTAAAATATTATCACAGAGAAGAAAATCCAGTGGCTGACTCTCTAAGCTTTTTTTAAAAGCTAAACTTGTTTATATATATGTACTACATTCGCGTAATAATCTAACATGGAGGATTCAGCGTGAAATTATTGTCAACAAACCCACGTGGAGCACAAATGATTTACAGTGGTTGACTGGAAGTGACAGGCCTTCTCTTCAAAATAAGCAAGGTAACTCACGCTGTGTGATTAGCCCATCTTTTATTGTCACCCTTATCTTTTATTGTTTTAACTTGAAAATGTCGCCTCCCACTGCAGGCATGCTTTAGATATCGTTATATGATAGCTGTTATGGTTGGGTCTTATC